CACACACACACACACTAACACAACCAAAACAGTCTGCTGTGTGTGAAAACGTGCGGGTTTGTGCCATTCAAATGAAGTCTGGCAGAGACAAATGTGGGTGGATCTGAATCAGATTTATAAACAGCGACGACAAATCAGGTTTCCGAGTGATAAATGTGATAAATGTCAGCGTGACTGATTCATTTCACGGCGGTTATTCAGAGCGGGGCGCCGACACCAACAACTATGACAGTGATAAATGCCAAGAATATGATTTGCGTAATTGTTGTGCTGCATTAATAGAGTTGGTTTTTGCCGAGGTCTTTGACCAGTAACAATGAGTCTGATGCTGGGCTGTTTATTCATGTGACACCGAGACCCCGAAAAGGCTGCACGATGTCCTTCCAAAACAATCACTAATTAATTTCTCCTCTCGGCTGAAAGTTTTCTAATGAGTGGAATCGGCTGCTGTAGTGTTTTGTTCTCGTGAAAACCTGTCTCATCTCATAACAAACAAACATAAATGATCAGCACGAGCAAAACGTTACAAACTGATTTATGTTTTAGTAGTAGTAGTTTAGTGCTTCTGAATCTTTCTGTGCTCACCTTTATGAACGCAACCTAAAAAAATAACAAAGTGTGATTTGAGAGGAATCTACATGTTTAGGACTGAAAGAAATCTGATGTATTTCTGTTTAATTTATGGTAAGTAAAATGTGTGTCACACTTAAATAAAAACAATTTTATGGACAAAAAGTCTGATCAGAATGTCTTGTTGGCGTTATTGTTGTCTCTACCTGCACACTATCCATCACTTGTACTCAGACCCTCATCAGGTAAAACTTTACCTGATAAATGAGTCCAAGCGATCAATGGTGTGTGAAAATTAAGGCCTTTACACACTGTTTAACTGTTGTTTATGTCATAAGTACTAATATAACAGAAAAGCAACATAATTATTGGATCACAGCCGCATCGCGATTTTAAGGCATCAACCAATCAAACTGTGTGGAACAGACGTCACGTCACAATTCATGGCGGTATATTCCATCAGTTTCTTCATTTTAGTCCAGTTATTAAGTAAGTGCAAAGCTTAAAGACAGTTTCTCCAGCTGGTCCCGTATCTTTGAACAGCTTCTTTACTGTATAGTAATGTAATTTTCTTTATTTAAAAAAAGGGATTTTAGAAAATTGGTATCAAAAACAGTATTGTTCAGGAACCGGTATCAAAATAAAGGTATTGGAACTTAACTTATATAGAACTTTTCTACCCTAAAGGACAAAAACTTGACTTCTCATTCACCAGAAGCCGAGGATCAAACTACCGACGCCGCAACAGACGACCGCTGATTTTCTCTTCCTATCAAAAAAGTTGAGAGAAATTATTCATGGTCTGATACCCATTAAGCTTTGAGACTTCACTATTAGTATTCAGCTTTAGTGTTGGTTGTATCTCCAGGTCACATAATCACAGATGGGAGAAGGTGGGGAAGCAGTAACTGTGTTGACTCTGAGATTTGTCTTTATGAACCGAAATCCTTCCCAGAGGTCTTGAATCAAAGATCTCATGCTGACCGTTTCAAAGACTTGCGGTGCAAACAGAGAAGGAAGCCCCAGGATGCAGTTAGCGAGGTTTTGCCTGGTGAGAAAACAGCGTCTGATCGTGGAACTGACCGTGTGAAGTGGTCCACCAACGATCCCACCAGCTCGCCCACTCGATCCTGGTTGGGGCACAGTTCCCCTTGCTGCAGACACAGCAGGACGTCATCCTGGGAGGACGTGTGCAGCGCCACCATCTGGTCAGCCCCGCTGGTCACACTCAGTCCAGTAAACTGTGGGAAGAAACAAAACAACAAAAGTCAGACACCAACACAACACCAGCTCTTCTCTCCATGAAGGTTTTATATTAATCTACAGTGAGAAGACTGGACACTTTTATCTCTACCACCTTCATTATCCATGAAAGAAAGACTGTTATGAGTTAGAGAAAGACTGTTTATAGTTTCATAGGAAGGGTAAAACTGATTTTTGGGACCATTTTGTTGTTAGTTTTTTTGTCTCAGCACTGAAGATCAGTTTCATCAGATATTGTTGGTGAAGGTTTAAAATGTTTTTTCTAGCTTTACCAGGTGCAACAATAAAATGCTGTTTACACATTGCGTCAGTAACAATCATACATACATAACAATCATGGTGTCTGCATAACAAATACTTAAATTACGTAAAATACTTAAAACTTTTTGAACATTTTACTAATAATACTTCTGTACTTTAACTTAATTCTGAATGCAGGACTTGTAATGAAGTATTGTTTATTGTTGCATTACCACTTCTAGTTAAAAAATACCACTACTAGTATTAAAAATGAATGAATACTTCTACTGCTATTGTAAGTCCTGACAGGCTGAATGACTGTGATGTTCAGTGGGACATTTGAAAGCCCTGGAATTTCATTTATAGAAAAAAAAGTCCAGGGATTATCACGTCAATGTATAATACCTGTGAATTTAATACAGTACAGCACAGTATATCCCGGATCAAAAATCACGGCACGAAGGAAGTCAGCGGATTATTTCTGCTCAGAGTATGTAGGGTGAGAGAAACTCTGCCTGCGGTGCACGTGTGGAGGTGCAGTGAAGGGAAAGTCATGAGGTGTGACCCAGTTAGATTAGTGTACAGATTTACTACGACCAGTCGGAGAACAGGCCTTCAGATATTTTACATGAGTAAAAGTGGGAATAGTACAGTGTGGAAATAATATGAATTCTTATACCAATAATTCTTAAAAACCTACTACAACTACGATTCAGTTGGATTCCCCTTTAGATCATTGAAACAAGGCGGTAGAAACACTACTGCTTTTGTCCACAGGGGTCGCCAGAATTAGCAAAAGAATTAAAGTTCTGTGTTGCTGTAAAAGCATTAGCATAACAATATAATTGCCTAAAGTAAAAGTCATAAACCCATTTCAGAATCACCTAAATTAAATTTTTGGATTCTAATTATTGATGAATTCCTTTATACCTCACTATAATGTTGCAGCTGGTAGCGTTGGAGCAAAGTAACGAAGGCCATCAAATAAATGTAGTAGACTAAGAGTAGAAGTATACAGCCGCATAAAATGGAAATATTCAAGTAAAATACCTCAAACTTGTTCTTACAGAGTAAACGTACAACAGTGTTTATGAGACTAGGAGACAGAGAAAGTGAGGTGAATCACAGATGATTTTAGAGCGGGAATGGGAGAATGAGAGAGTGGATTAAGCCTCTTACAGCCCCCAGCACACGCAGGTTAATCCAGCAGGGACGACAGTGTGCCACACCGTCAAGGCCAGATTCTAGTACAGCCCGTCCCTCCAGTGACGGGAACACTGCAGAGGTTATTCAGCAGACTTCAATCACTGATTGCATTTCCAAAAATGTGAGGAGACAGACAGATTTCTTGATTCCAAGTACTGTTTTTTCTAATAAATTGAATGAGGATAACTTGAAAGGTGTTTCAAAACCTTTCTGAAGAGCAATTAATGATTATTTTCATTATTATTAGATTCTTTTTCTACAATAATTTTTTTGTTTAGGCTATAAAATGTTAGAAAATAGCAACAAAAAAACAACAACTACAGTTTAATTGATAAATGAATATAAATCACTCTATGTGATTAATTCATTAATTATCAAATGTGTCAATCAACTGAATACTTCAGCAACAGCAGTTGTGTCAGTATTTGTTTTTTAAAGATGTTCTTCGAGTCATTGAGTTCGGTT